AGATTCTCGTTTATGATAGTCTTCAACTGAATGTGCTGCACAAAGACTGACTCATGTTTCAGTTGGTACGATATGCGAGATATGGCAGTAGATTTTCATATGGAGTTTCAGTTGGTAGTTTACTGAAAACTCTTCGACAGCCCACGACCGGTTTTGCCCTTCATGGGGCTCATCAGGTAGGCGCGATCCCGGAGTTGTCGTCAGCCTGTCGCACTATTTGATGATGCTCCCTGGTAAACCTTGATTTGGTTTTGTTTGCTTGGTGATTAGATTTCGTCCCCCAAGTGGAGTAAGTCAGTGCTGAAAAGTCGATGGACACTGTGCAGTTGGATTACTCTTATCGGGAATCACCAGCAGTGTGCATCTTACTAATCTCCGGGGTGATTCGGGATCATACCCCACGGGCTGGTGGCTTTAGGTTTGCATTTTGGGTTGAAGGCGTCAAAGTTTCGAAAGGAAACGACGGTGTATCAAAGACGCACGTACTCAACAGCCGACTGAAGGTGTCGAAACATGTGCAGACCAATCGCTGAGCTTGGTGTACTGACCGACTGCCATCTGATCAACAACCATTGAGACTGAAGATCATGAACGAGCGATTCAGTTGGGTTCCATGTGATTCTGCTATGAAAACCAAACTGATTTGCAAATGAATGTATTTGTCGAAATCAGTCCAACTGGGGTTCAAGTAGAGGTTGACGCCCATCTGATGAGCCCCAAGTAGAGCGAAACCGGTCTTGGGCTGTCGAACAGTTTTCAGCAAACTTGTTTGTTGTGTGCTTCATGACAATATTCTGTTACTTAGTTTCAGACCTCGAGTTTTATTGTTGTATCGGAGTATAAGTTCCCCGAGAATTGTTCCGAGTACTGTGTCCCTGTTAGAATTCAGTGACTGGTTGCAGTGTTACCCTGATAATACCTGAAAGTTTTTACAGCTGCGAGGTACCAAAAACTTCAACATCACATAGTTGTCTGAATACTTCACCGAAATGAGAATCGAAATAGTTACTGATAGTAATTTGTAAAATGACCGTAACATGCCAGGTATATGTGCACTAAGTCTACCCGTGTCAACTGGTTGTTACTGCTTGGATTTCAGCGCACCTGTTTTGTAACCAGTCTCACTCTTATCCGTTGGTTGTTGATGCGGCCGTGTTCATTCGAAATATGAACAGTGACACTGCGGGAGTGTATCTTTTTAAAAAGCCTCAGGATGCTGGAATTTTTCGAAAAAGAGTAATATTGCCCTTTGCGCCCCGCTAGAGTCCATCATACATATACAACCCGCTAACAAGTGGTCTCTGCTTAGAATGTTCCATCCACAGTCTTCTCGTTTTACAGTGTTTTTAGGCGAAAGTGTGTCAGGCGGCTGTCCGAGATAGTTCAGTGGTTATGGCCTTGACTTACTGACCGGGAGCTCCAGGGTATGTCGACTGCTCCTGTTTAGTCTTGGGCAAACGGGCAGTATTCAAACCTCCATGCTTCGCGCACTAGCCAAATGGACTATGATAAAATCAGGTTATCCAAAGTTTACGGGTTCCCTCAAGCTAAGAACGAGAAACAACACGACCATTATTCATCCGGTTAGTACGATCTACCAGAACAGGTATGCTTGTTTATGATCTTACACGCGGTATGCAAATCACTCACAAAAATTCACTCATTACGATTTGCAGAGGTTCGAGAATTATGATTGGTGTGATGTTATCGGAGCGAACTGAACTTTAGTAAGATCAGCGTAGTAGGTATGGTGATGGTCCATAAGATATCGACTTCCCATTGATTGGAGTTTGCTCTAAGGGAATGCTGGATATTTTAGTTGGGCAATTCGAGGGCTATCGGCAAAAAGAAAATAATGCCGAATCATGAGGCGAATTCACGACGCGATCGACTTGATAGTTGTGGGAAACCCACAACCGTCTAAAAGCGTACCCAAGAGTGCAAATTAGGATTTTTCGCGCGTTCTCAGCCCGACAACCAATAAATAAAGCTTGTGTCTTCTACTCTCAAGTTGCTTTCCGAGATATGTAAAAAGGAGTCCGCCAAATGCATTAGTCGACCGGCCCAAAATGGCCTACTATGATTCCTCGCCATGTCAACTATCTGCACATGTCCATATCTTCTTATTGTAGGAAAGCATACAACCACTCCTAAGGCAAGCAATGGGTATGTGCATGCGCGATTGAGCTTGCAAGCAATAACTCTCAATTCTTCGACTAACGATAGAAACTGGGGCCTGTTGTCCACAAAACTTGCCTGATTCCACAGCTTTTAGGTTTACTTTCGCGATCATTCATCCGCTCAATTAAGTTTTTGCCTAACTTGGCACTCATCATCATCATCATCATCATCGACAGCATGACATCAACACCGATGCTTCGCTGCCGTAAAACCATGATTTAATTGAAAGCCTTATTGTGAAGAAAAGAATAAAGGAGGATGGGGAAGAAACTTAATGCTGGCTTACTACAATCATTCCGAGGTGCTTACACCTCCAGACTCTGACAATATGGCAACTGACATCGGTTGATAGCCGTATTTTGTACCGTCTCCAACCAGGCGCAGTGAGAATCAGGTGGTCCCCATCCTCGAAGGTCAGTAGCACCGACAGCACCCAAACGTTTCATTATCTTCAAATTCCTCTGACAAGTCAAGTGCTGGTCACCTTTATACCTACGCCACTCTGAATTGGGCATGGAAAGCAGCACTCTTTTCGGCATGCGATGGTTAAGCTTACGCGACACATGTCCCAACCAATGCACTTCTGGTGCTAGACACATTCTTCAATGGAAATACCCGTTGGACAACCGAAAACCCGCTTTCCAACTGCTCCGTTACGGATATACCGACACCAACCCACACGAGCTACGGTTCTGAGACAACGATTGTCGAACATCTGAAGAGGTCTCACTTCCACTGCCCGAACAGGCCAATTCTAACAGCCATACAGCAAAACAGCACAACAAGACTTGGCACTCTGAACAAAACTGAATTCGTTAGAAATTAAAAGGGGATTTGACAGATATTGACATGAATGGTCCAAGTACACCTGTAGCCGATCCTTCGCTTACCGGTGTGGCGAATCGGCTGTGAAGTCCACCCCGATGGACAGCGAGTGTCAACGGCAGCTCAAAGGACAGAGTAACCCGGTGGCTTGAGTCCGTCGACGCACGCGTACCTGGTTCTCTTAGTTCAAGATCCATCCAATCCCTTTTTACTTTCTGGTAATTTACATCGAAGTCCTTTGGATGGTTGGACGATAGAAAAATCTGGTGACACGAAGGACTCAGTAACGGCAATAACAGATACTAACCGATGGTCAACTCAGCGAAGTAGGGAGTCGGCTATGAAGTTTAGGTACATCAACGTGTCGAAAAATGAGGCTCACCGGAGCCTAGGTCAGTAGGGCATCCGTGCATTAAGTAGGATTTAGGCTGCTTGAGTCTGCTCATCAAACGTGCCTTCTCGTTCACGATGCATGTACTTGAACTCGACGACAGGTGTGATGCTCGGATTTCGAAGAAGCCTGAATGAAGTGCGTGATTCTATCCGATACAGCCTTTATCCAGTAGTATTTGAATGAAATGCAAGTACATCCAAACTGTTATGCGATCCATCCAGTGCCGACACTATGTTGGAGAAAAGTGCACGCCTGGCGAACGAATTATGGAACTGTCTACTTGCTCGTTTTGTCCGCTGTCCATATCTCTAACCTGAAACAAACTTTTTGATGATTACCGACTTTCGTGAAGCAACTATGGGGCAGGTTTGACGCGAAAAATTCTCCATAGTGGCTGCTTTATCTGACAACTTATTGACAGCCCCCCTCCCAGCTAAGCAGAATCCTTCAATGTATCGAGGGGCATTTTTAGTTGTCCGTGCAAAAGTGATGAAATTCAGTATGGTAGACGTCAGCATAGTCTCGGATGGGTGCGGAGTGACTGTATGGAATGAGAAGAAGCAGAAGTATGGTGCTGATGAATATTCCCTCGCCATAATCTCAGCCCTACGTGCAATCGGTTGTGATGTCGAATTTTTGGTCCACCAACTGATGGCCCTCTCTTGACGTAGGATCAGCTGCCAGGACTGTTATTGGACTGGGACCTCCTAAGGTCACAGTCAGTGACTTGTGTTCGCTTGCCACTGTGGGCTCTTTGCGTACTTACGACACTTTTATGCGTGGTAATTGGCGTTGAGTGTTCATGCTTGCCAGTGACTTTCATACCTGACCCATTATGACGGACACTTTGTGCCTGACGTGCTAGCGCTTACCGCGTTTTGAAGAACATTCAGTACTGTTTGTCCTTTCCTCGGTTATTGGTCAGTACACACGTGTTTCCATACCGAACATTCTTACATACGTTGGGATTCATCTTATCTGACCGGAACTGTTAGTGGTACGACTTCGAACGGGCCGCTTCCCCCGTTTTACCTAATATTCTCTTTCCACATCCATCACTTGCATTTACTCTTTATGTTTGTGACCATGCTCTTCAAAATAAATGATGATTTGATGTGTACACAATTTGGTCCTCAACTTGTTAGCTTAAAGGCCAGCAAAGGTTGTTCTCACTTACATCTATTATCAACACCCATCACGACCCAGATAAGTCTGGATTCTTCGCTAAAGACTGTTAGCTTAGGAATCGACGGCATTAGAGATGTGGTGTCACTAAGTTTCATTCCGAGAAAAATGGAGACACAATAAGTGCAAAGAAAAGCGTTGTTTTTATTCTTATTTTTTTAAAAACAGTTCCCTGAATCAATGGCAGCATAGATTTTTAGGGTGGGGAAAAACACATGCATGATCGCAGATATAAAACAACATGGTGCAAAAATGCAATTACAAAGGCAGCAGTGTACACATCACAGAGAATGCTAGAACAAAAATTGATGATCGCGAAGTATGCGAGAATACATTGTCCACAGAATCCATGGCAGTAGGATGCAAAACGATATAAGGAACGTCCTGAGTTGATAGCCATTCATTTCGCTCCTCCTCACCACGAGATATCCACATGAGTTAGTCGATACCTGTGCTTTGACCAGAAGTTGGCCAAACTGGAGGCAGCTGATAGACGTTGGCTATGGGCTGGACAGTGAATGCTCATGCAAAGCCATGTTGGGTCACATGAACCTCCACGATTGCCAAGACAGCCGGTGCAGATTCGTTCGGCTTCCGCCATCAGCTGATTTGTATGCCGGAGCTATGGAGCGAACAACGCAACAACAGGGGAATGAGAACCTAGAGGGAAACCCACGTACAAAGTTGACATAAACCTGCTAGCAACCATCCTGCTTTGGGGGACGTAAACGGCGAATTCCCATCAACGACATTTTTTACTTGAATGTCAATGTGAAACCCAAATGAATCTGCGCACGAGTTTCCAGCACGCTAGTACAAATTATACGATATTCAGGAAGAATCCTACGATCCGGTTAGTTCAACTTCAATACCTAATCTGCCTCTCGACTTCCCCTGTCTAGGTTTGGGCAACCTGGCAGCCAGGCACCGGAAGGCTAATACAGCTGGACGATTTTAATTTATTTTTTTTTCACAACAAAATCTAGGCGCATCGTTTATACTGCAATTTAGAAGACGAAACGCATATCAGAAACTCGAACAAGTCTCCATCTTCAGTGGTTCCTCAACACAAGTGCATACATAAACAGAAGAACTCAGGCGGACTTGGCGTGGTGTAAAACATGTGTAATTCCAGGTATAACTGGAGTCATGTATCCTCAACTCATGTCGAAAGAACTCAAATGAATGAGGAATTCATCTTCGGGTAGTGAGCAGTATGCCACCAGGTGCCATCTGCACTTGCGAGGTTGATAAGTCATGTTTTTTGAACAACCGGTGTCCAGCAATTCAGAATGAAAGTCATACCAGTAAAACACAGTACATTGGACTAAGGGAAGAACCTACCTCGAAACCGAAACGTGTAGCTTCGATCGTGGTCAATTTGGGATTTCTTTCTAAACACGGCTTGCAATTCCCAAACGCATCACTGGGGACCGAGTGAGGCAAGTGTGCTCCACAGCTCGGACATACGCGAACCGATTGAGTTACGAATGCACGCATAATGGCAGACTGGCGGCGACGCCTCAGTGGGCGTCCTCCACTCACAACCGAAGTCTGACTGAAAGACGATGACTGCGAATCGAAACTGTCCAGGTGAGCAAGTGATTGTCCACTGGTTTGATTGGCACCACGACCCGAGGCAATCCTACATCGTTGATTTGAACTGACCTGGTATCGAGGCAGGTCATTCAACCTGGGAATAAGAGCAAAAGTTCCATTGACAGCAAAGTAGACGGACTTGGATGGAAACTAGGGGGGGCGCAGGAAAAACCAAACGCTTACCATTGGTGAACCTTCCAACCCAGTAACTGCGTGATGCGATTCAGTGGAGGCAACAGCTGTTTGTCTAGATAATAGCTCAAATTCAGTCGAGGTGGCAATGCTCGTCTGACAGAAAAATTCGTTCCTGATGGTGTGGTTGGAGGACCTAGTTCGGCTAAAGAACGCAGACAAGATAAGATTGTTTGGTCTGGCCGACCGGGAGTCACGTAATAAGCCACACGTTCGCCGACGGCTGGTTCCGCTCCAGTGTCCAGAGCAATGAGGCGTCTGGAAATAGAATGGACAAGGTGTTCCGGTTGACAATTCATCAAATGAAAATGGATTAATTTCAATGCAGAAAGTAAGCCTCCGAAGTGAGAGCATTCTGGAAACATAGCCGTAAAACGACGTTGCGGGCGCTTGTTAGCCGGATGCGCTTTTAGGGAAACGGAGCAATGTGGGCTTCAGGTCAAGCACATGTAAGCGGGACATTGTCAAATCACTTTTTAATCGGGTACGACGGATGGCGAATCCGGAGCTACATTAAAGAGGAGTGGGAGGCCTTAGGTAATACCTTCGCGGGCAAGGGTTACCTTGGACATTCCATAAATAAGCACTCAGAACCCAGAGGGATCTGTAGCAGTTGTTTCAAAGTGAATTCTAAAGACGCATATTTTAGTTTAGTTTAGTTTTTAGGATCGTCTCAAAAACACTTCACCACACATACGACGCCTGCAAATTGGAATTCATTTGGAAAACAAATCGCGTCACCACAAGATATTGGAAGATAACGGGGCTTTAGCCTGCTAATTTCAATGTACTCCCTCGGATCGCTCGTACTTGTAGATTCAGATAAACCGGTAGCATGAAGAGGAAACTAACCACGTTTGTTTGTGAAAATAGAAGTGACTGAATACTAAACCATTCGGCTGAAAAAAAATTAGAAGTGAACTTACGAATCACCTGGAGAGCACCAGTTTACCGATGAATCAAATGTACTAAACAGCTCAAAAAAGAGGTACGATTTGGATGTTTCCAAAACGGTTGTTGCCATCACCACAAAGGAAATGATGGCATCTTCATTGGTGCTTTCTATTTCCCTCAAAATGTTTGCAGACAATTGATCAACCTTCTGCATTCACGTCTAAAATGCCATCCCGAAGAGATCGGACCTTACCGTGGCGTGGTGGTTTGTGTACTTAGGCGACCGATTGATGTATACTGAGCGATGTCCGCACGACACTTGCAGAGTCTCTACTACCAGGTTGGTCAATGTCTAGAGGTCTGACGAACACAGTCCCCCGGTCCTCCAGGTTGGGGGTTAGAATGTGGGTGGAGGCTTATTCTATAAAAATGGTAACGCACTTGCAGTTCCCACCAAACACCGCTGCCTTGCGGTTAGGCTTTTGAGCTAAAGGCCTTGGTTGAGGACCCTAATCGTCCTCCTGTCTAGGCAGTATCCACACCTACGTACAACCATAACATTAACAAGTAATAATACTCTCATACAACACCGGCCGTCACGTGGTGCCGCCAGCCGGGTCACCTTACTTGCTGCAGGGTGCTAAGCGAAAACAAGCTACTGCTGACACCTCCCTTCTTATACTTTCACGTTTTCCAACATCAACCCTAACCCACCCAAATTTGAATAATCTCTCCCCAGGTGCCAGCAGGAGGACTGACTGTTTTGCCGGCCGTGAATCACACTCAACTGCAGCCTCCGGACGTCCGAGTTCAGTCACAACCCTAAACACTTAGTAGACTGTTTTCAAACCCCGAAATCCTCTCTGATGAGCCGCCTTTAACGTTCGTACACCGAAGCAAGCAGGACAACCTAGACAGTGTTGCTGAGAAAATTATCCGACGCTCTGTCCACATGCTGTTAAAAAAATCTATCAGAAATCGTTGGTTAAGAAAATCGTTCAGCTGTAGCACCCTTTCGGTGCCAAGCTACCATGCCACACGAAGGAAGCACGAGGGCTGGGATACTGCCAGGTTGCCTAAGCCTAGACAGGGGAAGTCGAGAGGCAGAGGCCAGGTTCGAACCACGAGCCTTCCGGTCAGTAAATTCGCGTTCTAACCACTTGGCCCATCTCGCCACATTCTGTTAATGTGATGCACACACATTTTCTCACGTGCTAACATGCGCTGGGTCAATCGCATATACCTAACTTCGTGGCCAAGGAGATATGAAGGAAATGGTGAGGGCTCACATGATGACTTTCACTTTTTTTCGAAATCGGCGTCGATGCCAGCAGAGTAAAAGGAGTTATTCGATAACGTTGTCATCAACCGAACCATCCTCATGAGTGGGCATCTTAGGAACAACGGTCATGAAAAGTCACCCGTAGTTTACACGTAACTGACTTGTGTCAGAAGGTCTTTTGATTACTGTGAGAACGACACTGAAAGCAGTCCAGCCTGCTGAAGAATCCAAGAGTTCGCGACGGGTCAGCGACGATAAACTGTGCGCCACTCTCAGTCTTTGTTTCTGGTGTCACGTACCCACACGACCAATTTTATTACATCGTAGAACACGTGGGTGGGTATAAACTACTTCCTGGTCCCAACTACTTACCTAGCCACTTGCAGAGCTGGAGCAAAGTTTCCCGGTTTATAGGCAGTCATTCCCCAGTAGGGTCGTGTCAAAATGAAGTCGGCAAAGGGAACACGACCGTCCATCAGTTTCTGACTGAAATGACGCACTGCCTCACGAACTCGTGATTCGGCAACAAGTAGGTACTGACGGACATCAGAGTAGACTGAGAACAGAACAGACAAAAAAAAACGAAAATTTTATTGGCGCTACGAAGCAAAGTGTAGATGGCTGACAGGGAGGATGAAGCATTTTTTTTCAAAGAAACACAACCTGTCAGGCTTTCAATGCCTCCCAAATTACTGAGCTCCTGCAAGCAAAGAAATCAGATTCAGTTCGCACGGCCACACATTAGTCTGGTCAGATGCCGAACAAATTAGATGCGTATGGCTTGGTGAAGCTTCAAATCCAGAGCTATCACAATCCATATTTACTGTTCGCAAACTAAAGCTGATTAAACTCACAGAAATTCATATTTCACCCAGTCCGATTCCCGAGGAATGCAAAACGAGTCTTCAACGTAACAGTTTACGAAATAAGTGGCTAGGTTTGTGATAGCATGCAGTCCGTTCACCGGCCGTAGTAGACCGGTGACGATGTGAGTTTATCGCTCACGGATTGTTGGCAGAATGAGTAGTCAACAACAAGTTAGAATAATCTTTGTAATGCACTACTCATAAGGTTGCTGAAAATCCGTCGACAGCCCATGACCAGTTTCGCCCTTTTTGTTACCGTTTGAATGGGCGTGGTGAATGCCAAAAGACAGACTAAGCATGTTGGGGAACGAATAATCACACCTGAATATCTTTCACACCAGATTGCTCCTCTCCCCCTTTAAAAAAATACCAAAAGGGAGTAAATTTCTTGGTATCAGGAAGGTCAGATTCGTGGAAGTAACCACTGAACGCCCGAAATCTACTGAGACCCTCCACTCCGCTAGATGGCCACCAGACAGACAACGCCCCCACAATAAGTAGCGCGCGACAGCCGTGTATTAAAGCCAGACAGCACGAAACAGCATTAGACCAAGGCCAGACAGTGTCGTTCAAATAAAATAGTTTGAAGCCGTTGAATTTTCCCACTCAAGCTGTTGCACTTGCTTGTTCGGAATAAAACTGTTCGTTGTGTTCCTTATCGGTGAGTCTTTTTCCGGCACTAGACACCGGGGCGGGGAAAGCAATCAGACACAACAGATGGGCGACTCAGCAGGATATAAAACTAGGAATACATGATTCCATATAACCCAGAAATATGTACTTATAATATTCCGAAATAGGCGAAGAGGCTCACCCACCCTTAGATGAGGAATTTTTTGGAGAGATTCATTCATTCTGGAGATTCATTTTGATCCTAGGTGAATCCGAATTTAAGTACTGGGCAACTACAATACCGAACAGAAACGGCGTACAGTAGGATGGGTAGTTAAACGACCTGTGCACATTTACCGAAGGCCAAATGTGGTCCTACGATATCAGGTCAGGAACAGCAAAGCTAAAACATATGATCAGTGATATAAAGCTGTAGCGACTTGGGGACCCGTAGGAACAGTTACGACAGACACTGTGGCGGCCTCTGCGTGGCGAACAGCAGGCAATAGATTAGTACATCTAAATGAACAAATGAAACAGTATACAAGGGGAGCGGAGGACCATTAGACTATTTGTGGATGGATAACTGAATAACAATAATAATAATAATAATAATAATAATAATAATAATAATAATGATAATTGGATAAATGAACGTAAACATAGCGATGGTAGGCGCGTACCACCTCGCAAAAATTCAAAGTTCCAAATGGGCCAAACCTATAGTGAACGAGGGTTGAACATCAGTCAGACTCACAGACACGGACCAACATGGAATTGCATACCGAGTGAACAACCTTGGATACGTGCGGAGGAGAGTGACCTTGTTCGGGTGGTTGGTGGCCAGGTGGGTAGCGGCCCCAAATCGATCTTTAACACCCACACTCGGTTCCACGCAAGACCAACATCCCCTACAGGGACAGTTAGTCACAAAGGCAGGAGACGTGAAGAGAGTCGAACAGACATACATAGATCCGGTAACAATAAAGCTGAGACGCAAGCAAGCAGTTAACTCGCCGTCGTGTTAATCTCCGATCGAAGTTCTTATTGGAGAGAATAAGCAGAACATTGGCACGGCGAAAAAACACGAGGAAATCACACTACATAACAGTAGTCTGAGATAACGCAAAGTTTGAACATCTTGGTTCCCATAAGTAATCGAAAAAACAGTGCAATAAAGCATCACGCGAGTTGTTATTAGATCGTTTCGATAACTTTGTACATAGGTACGAGGCCAAAATACCGGCGCCAATTGTATGTGCTTGCAAAAAATGGTCCCCAAAAGGTAGACTCACCGAATTCACCACAAAAATAACAACTTAATGAGGGAGTTAATACAACAGTCGGACAATCAAACCGGTAGCCACGACTCAATTATGCTCAATACAGTTTCAAAATAAACAACAAACGCATAAAATTGGGTGTTTGCACCACAAGTTAACACTTGCCATGACGTGGGCTCTGCTAGATAACAGCACCGCTGACTCACTCAAGCTAGGACGCAAAGTGACCCCCAGATCCTGGCTTCGACAAAGGGCTACTAAGCTAAGTGTTCAAGAATACCTGGATGTGGAGAAATGTGTTGGGATTTTCCATCTTCGTCCTGTTCGAGACCATGGATTTAAACCGAACGGCATGAAAACAGAAACTCACTATCGGTGGGGCCGCCGGATGAATCCCCAACCGACGATGCCGTTGGAGGCAGAGGAAACTGATTGAATAAAAGCCGCAGAGTAGAGTCCACAACCTACGGCAAACGAAAGAGCCAAACCGGTGGAATATACCAGTGGAAGAGAACTTTTGTGGATAATGTTAGTTGAATGCTCAAGACCATAAACACGAAGAATTAATTATGGGCGAACGTGAACACAAACAGTAAGCAGAACAAAAGGAAATATATAGCTTGACAAAGGTATCAAGAGCACTCACCTTTCCTACGAAGGGACAACCGTCACGTCTAACAGTCTCTATACCTTTGGCATCAAAGACAGGCTCGGTTTGTGTGGGAGACTCATACGCATAACCGGCGTAGCGCTTTCTGGCTTCCAGAAGACATGGGTAGTAAATCTGTGGCGGGAATGCAAGGGAATTGAAGAGAAGAACAGAAGTTGACAGGAAATAGATATTAGGGACAGAATAAATTGGATTGTGAAGTTTGAGAAACCGATTAAGCAAACCTAAATCATCACGAGCAGGTGCAACTCCGAATGAGACTACCACTACTGAAATAAAGTTGAGTAGTGAAACGTCGAAGAACTGCACGTTGTAGCCTGCTCGACTTAGGGACGAACAGCGGTCGGAAGCAGAACGAGAAATGCAGGTAGATGAAGGGTGATCCATACATATCTGGACCATATGAACAGAGATTATTGACTAGATAGCTTGGTGCGTTTTGTCCAGTGTGCTGACATTTGCTAAATTGCTGACAAAAAAAAACAAGAACTGACCTATCTAGCTTTTTAGGGCATGCGACAGTGCCGGAGCTAACAAATACCCCATGTTGCTGAATTTTTCTCCTGTGCACAGTATCTTTTATAAACTTTTTAACTAAGAAATGTGGATGAGGAGTTGAAGTTAGCGGAATCAGTGAGCACAGCCACTTTGCACCGGGACAGAAAGTTAAAACATAGGACACTTAAGTAGAGAAAATCACCTTTTCCATCTTGAGTTTGATTGGTGCAGGGTTTAGCGACGTGATCGCGTTTGCAATTGCGTGGGCTACCTCAAAAGCTTCAAGTTTTCCGAGACCGGGAAGATGGATAAATAAGCTGTCTGTATCTCCATACACCACGCGTGGTGTTGTCCGATGCGGGAGTTCAATTGCTCCTGAGTCGACCAGCTGGATTGCCTGTTCCAATGTCTCACGTGCCTTGCTCACAATGCTGTCACCAACCTATAGATAACATTGAGATGGTGATGAGTATCAGTTTGGGGCCAGGAACATTAAAAAAAGGTACTGCATCAAAAACGTACCTCTACACAAGGCATTCGACCAGAGAAACTTGCGGCAGTGTAACCGAATATCACGTTGGCCATTAACTTGAGGCCGAGCTGTCGTGCGTCCAAAAGTCGATTCAGTGACTGAAAGAAGAGAACAGATGGAAACCGGACGTTCATCAGGAGACAGGGATCGCTCATTTCAGCTTGAAAGTACATAGAACTAACGCGCGCGTGTTGCTAAAGCAAGAACTTCTCAACCTGACACCTCCTGACTAATGCGTTGGTCGTTCTTTCTGTCATCCAAATTTGCTTTTCGGCATGAGAATGGGATGCGGCGTCCCAGTTGCAGATCACGGGTATTAATTGTATAAATGAACGCCATAATTAGGCGCTAACGGCTCAGAGTCACAAGGTTCAAACGATGACAAGTGCAGCAAAGCATATTAAAGGTTGGGTGACATTGTTTCCGGTTAGTGACAACCTACAGAAACAATTTTCTATACCAATCATTCCGGTGGAGAGTCGTTTGAGGGCGCGACAAGCCCTTTGTGAGCCATATAACGAATAAGAAAGGGAATTACTGGGTGATCTTTGTCTCGGGCTCGCTTATAATTGCGATAAGATAACGGCTTCGTTTCGCCGGGCTAAAACTAACTGCAGTCCCATAGCTATAGGCGGAGCAAGTGAAACAAATTCTTCCAACGACTGAGAATCCAAAGTGATTAACCTGGCAACATAGCACTGCTATATTTAACATGTTTCTCGTCTAAACAGCCCACAGGATTCCATATATCTTGCTGGGTAAGTGAAAAAGGTCCAAGNTCACGGGTATTAATTGTATAAATGAACGCTATAATTAGGCGCTAACGGCTCAGAGTCACAAGGTTCAAACGATGACAAGTGCAGCAAAGCATATTAAAGGTTGGGTGACATTGTTTCCGGTTAGTGACAACCTACAGAAACAATTTTCTATACCAATCATTCCGGTGGAGAGTCGTTTGAGGGCGCGACAAGCCCTTTGTGAGCCATATAACGGAAAAAGAAAGGGAATTACTGGGTGATCTTTGTCTTGGGCTCGCTTATAATTGCGATAAGATAACGGCTTCGTTTCACCGGGCTAAAACTAACTGCAGTCCCATAGCTATAGGCGGAGCAAGTGAAACAAATTCTTCCAACGACTGAGAATCCAAAGTGATTAACCTGGCAACATAGCACTGCTATATTTAACATGCTTCTCGCCTAAACAGCCCACAGGATTCCATATATCTTGCTGGGTAAGTGAAAAAGGTCCAAGTTGTTTCAACCGCTTACACTACACCTTAATGTACTGAGGTGAGACTACCAAACTACAATCCATGTCATCTAGAAACACTAGGGGAAAAAATAGCGTGAACATCCATCTTTAAACAGCCAGGGGTAGAGCACGGAACGTCATCTCGCAGTCAGCGGAGCTCGGAGTTTTTAACGNTTGAGGCCGAGCTGTCGTGCGTCCAAAAGGCGATTCAGTGACTGAAAAGAGAACGGATGGAAAACGGACGTTCATCAGGAGATAGGGATTGCTAATTTCAGCTTGAAAGTACATAGAACTAACGTGCGCGTGTTGGTAAAGCAAAAACTTCTCAACCTGACACCTCCTGACTAGTGCGTCGGTCGTTCTTTCTGTCATCCAAATTTGCTTTTCGGCATGAAAATGGGATGCGGCGTCCCAGCTGCAGATCACGGGTATTAATTGTATAAATGAACGCCATAAGTAGGCGCTAACGGGTCAGAGTCACAAGGCTCAAACGATGGTAAGTCCAGCAAAGTATATGGAAGGTTGGGCGACATTGTTTCTGGTTAGTGACAACCTACAGAAACAATCGACTATACCAATCATTCCGGTGGAGAGTCATTTGAGAGCGCGATAAGCCTTTTGTGAGCCATATAACGAATAAGAAAGGGAATTGCTGGGTGATCTTTGTCTTGGGCTCGCTTATAATTGCGATAAGATGACGGCTTCGTTTCGCCGGGCTAAGACTAACTGCAGCCCCAAAGCTATACGAAAGAGGCGGAACAATTGAAACCAATTCTTTCGGCGACTGAGCATCCAAAATGATCAACCTGTGTAGCAACCCCGTCACACACATACTTGACTGTTCAACTCACAGTCGCTCACTGGATCGCGAGGCTTGTCTTTTTTCTCATACGCACAAACACGTCGCATTAAGCTGGCTCATCGGACATCGATTGTCTGCACCGCCTAGTCAGCGTAGCAACCACTCATGTGCCGACGCGCCCACATACACGCACTGGGACCTACATAAAGGGAAACCGAACCCAGTCAGGACACACAGACTCGCGCGCGTGCAGGGAGCAAGGAGTCAGCCAAGCACTCCAAGTCCACGGACAATCATGGAACACGTGTAGTAGCCATACTGCGAAGAAAACACGTTTCCACCGTCCGGACTTTTACCAAGGGACTCACAAACGATAAGTTCCCTTTTGACTCGCTCCCATTTCGCATTTATTTTTATTGTATTTTATTTGTATTTATTTTTATACGTATCGCAACCATGCTAAAACTTCTATTAGTGCACATACACCTTCTGATTTGTATTATGGCTATCACCACCTGTGCACTAATTATTGGGTTCGACTGCTACACGTACTCCATGATTGTCCGTGGACCTGGAGTGCTTGGACTGACTCCTTGCTCCCTGCGCGCGCGCGAGTCTGTGTCCTGACTGGGTTCGGTTTCCCTTTATGTAGATCCCAGTGCGTGTACGCGGGCCCGTCGGCACATGAGTGGTTGATACGCTGACTAGGCGGTGCAGACATCGATGTCCGATGAGTCAGCTTAATGTGACGTGGTTTGTGAGTATGAAAAAAAGACAAGCCTCGTGATCCAGTGAGCCACTGTGAGTTGAACAGTCAAGTATGTCGGTGACTGGGTCGCTAAACCTGGCAACATAGCACTGCTATGTTTAACATGTTTCTCGTCTAAACCGCCCACAGTATTTCACATATCTTGCTGGGTAATTGAAAAAGGTCCCAGTTGTTTCAACCGCTTACACTACTCCCTAATTCACTGAGGTGAGAAAATCACTCTACAGTCCATGTCATCTAGAAACACTAGGGGACGAATAGCGTGAACACCCACCATTACACAGCCAGAGGTAGAGCACTGAATTGAACCTGATAACACGGACGTCATCTCGCAGTCCGCGGAGCTCGGAGTTTTTAACGTTTGCTTGATTCAGGATGGCGGATCACGATCACTTCTGCCAAGCAGTGCGTTTTCTAATTCCACTCGGCATGGGATCAAGATAGCTCAACGGTTAGACCAGAAGCCACTGACCCGGAGGCTTGAGGTTCGAATCCAATCCTGGCTTTTCGACGGAAGTGTTGCCCCACTAAAAGACATACCTATCACCGATGCGGTTGATTTTTGCAATAACCCCGCGGACCACAGTGTCTAGAAATTCGTACCTCAAGGGAAGAATGGCCAGGAAAGTTAAAACCGAAACAAGCAAACAAACACTAGTGAGCCCCGTACCAGGGGTTATCGTGCTGTGAGACGGACTTGGGGTAACGTTGCATTGTCCTGTGCAGTAGAAGGGTGAAGAGAGCCAGTACCACCATAACAACAGTCCGAGTAAGGATTGGTTAGAAATGACCAGGCCCCGAAAGCCGCATAACTCCCCTGCCCAAAGAGTGACCATGACTGTCGGTAGAGTATTCACTACGGGTGCTGCTCCAAGAGCACAGTTTATGCGAAACAGTACTGAGAGACAACTTTTTATACTACACCCCTTGTATCTTCATCCACAGCAGGGTCGACCAAACTTTTGGGTAACTGACTCCGAGTGAGATGCTCCGAGAAAACCCCGAAAACCCGTGACCTGACAATCGAGCTTTCAGGCGAGAGACTCGGTACGAAGTCCTGCAAGTTTATCCTTTCTGTGACGCAAACGAAAAACAAAGGCTGTAAATTGTCGTTGTTCGGATAACCACAAAGATACCTGATCACTCTTTTTCATTGTTCTGTTCTTAGCCCACCCATAATTTCTTCCTAAGACCTAAACAACCGAAGTACACGGGCGCTTTCAGTGCCAGCACCTTCAAACAGATCCGCGAACAAATTGCTTTGGAAAAAAGCTATCAAATTTGAAGCGCCGCATCTCTGCAGCTAAAGCGCATACTTACAGTATTGGTATGGTTTTGAATCGGCCTACATAGAAAGCAATAGACCAGGATTTCTGGTGATATGCTGTTGATGGATAAGGGTCTCGAAATCACGAACTTCCGGGTAGGAGTGTGAACACTCAACGATCCGGTCAGTCCAGTTCACATCAGCCCAGAATTACCCTCAGCTCAGAGCACGTACATTTACAGATGTTGAAAGCCAATTTTGCATTCTGTTGGTATATAAAGGATGACATTCTATTACGGACAGCTGATTTTGCACAAAAGAAACAGTTAGGTGTTGATAATGACTGTGAAGATATTTTATCTGAAATGCGGCGGGAGGAAAACCCGGACCTGAGGAGAAAGAATTCTGTCCAAACCGATCTCAACTCCCAATCGTGTCAATCCGCAGTTGCCTTGGAACGAGGCTAAGCACCGAGTTCAGAATCCCACTCATCTATAGAGCCCAAGAGTGAAATCATCATCCCTTCTTAAAAATACAAGGGAAACCAAAATTGTAATATACGACTGGTGCCTATTGACCATGATCCATAGTCTCATGAAAGATCAGAGGCACTGTTTCATAACAAGAGGTGGCTCGATTCGGTGCCTAACTGCCACACCACCCGAAGGTTGCACGAGGGCTATGATACTGCCAGGTTGCTCAAGCCTAGACAGGGGGAATAGAGAGGCAGAGGTCGGGTTCGAACCACGGACCTTTCGGTCAGTAAACTTGCGCTCTAATCATCTCTGCCCAGAAGTGGCAGCCAAGTTTCAATCGCATCCGGTCTGGGATCATACGCCAAAAGCACTTGCAGGCTTTAGCTCTGGTCGGGGCGCCATTGACCGAATATTCACACGGCGACAGACGGTAAACGGCCAAGCTACTTGCCAATTCCCGATAATTTTAGTATTCGGGATCTGAAGACTGTTATATCTGGTGATTCATCAATCTGTGGTATCTGCTGCTGACCCGCTCCACTGCCTAATGCCGAAAAAAAAGACACAGAAGGGAACACAACCGCTATATTCCGAACAAGCGAGTGCGAGAGCGTGAGTGCGTGCGAGAGCAAAAGTTACAACGGCCCCACGCTATTTAAAGGGGGCTTTCTGACATTGAAATAGGCTGTCTGATAGGCGTTAGTGATCACCCATCAACATCGATCGTGCCTCTGTGAAAAGCCTGAACGCTGATCACATTCGGTCGTGCTTCTGTGGCGCGCAAGAACACTCATCAGGTTTTGCTGAATTGATTGAATGATTGACTGACCTGGATGCTTGCCGGCTTTCCTGTTGAGTTTTTGGTGGAGCAGTAGGTTCCGGGCGTTTTGAAGTTGCTTTCAGGAGTCTGACCTTCCTGATAAAGACCGCTTGCGATTCAGTCGGTGAGACAGCCTATGAAACTGTTTGCTTCATCGAAGGGAGCATAACTGCTATAATTTAGCTAGCGCTCACACAACAAATGTGTTTGCCAGGGTGGCGGTGGGGTGGGGCAATTTCGATGCTCTTGCAACTTTGTGATTGACCAGATAACGGAAGTGGCATTCAAAATCCGTGGGAATTCGTGCGCGGGTTTCTAATTTGGAGTACCCGAACAATATCGTCCTTCTCAGTACTTTAACCTCCCAGATGCGAAATACTGAACTTCTTTCGGAAAGGAATGCGTTTTGCACCGTCGAAGCACAAAGTCATGATAGGAAATAGGGTCTGGAGAAGCCCAATTGTATCTGCATAGCAGGTTACCTGTCGATAAAATCACCTAGTTGGACAGTGCTTTATCATCCTGTTTTCATCTTGCGGATGAGGTGACTCGAAGAATAAGCAAAGCGCCCCTAGTATGTCGAAATTCTTCAAAGGGGGCATTGAAGAGGTGTTAGGCTGTCGACTGGAGGCATAAGTTGTAATGCTTGTGCGGCGCAGAAACATGGCCTCGCCGGAAGAAAATACATATAAACCCTCGGTTTCCAACCATTGAGGCTTCAAGCAAGTCAAATGATCGAATCAACAGTGAGATCATATATAAACAGCTAATGGAAACTGGTGAAGCACAAGCCATACAACCGACTCACTAGAGACGCAGACTCCAGTGTAGAACGAGTGCGGCACAGCGGGTTGCCTACGAAGCCCCAGTCGAACAATAAACGAAGGGGTGGCAGTCAGTCAATGACAAGATCACATCTGTGACAGACTTGACCGTAGTACTTAGTGCCACTGGCAGATTACTTCCACCCGGTTAGGTAACAGGTGACCAAACCCATCGATGGTTAGGGACACTTTCTGATATGGCAACACGTTGCAGTCAGTGGCGAACCTGTACAAACAGGCTAGTCGGTTTACCTCGAGGGAATCCAGCTCTTCAGCTTGAGTCCATATAATCCTAGTCCTCGACTGTTCTCCTCTATTATCGTTCATGGTTATTCGAATAGTCCAGATGCGCAGCTCAGCGCTCAAAACAACCATGCCCACAAAAGGTCCAACGAACAAACGAAATATCTTTCTGAGTGAACTACTCGGAACGTACAGCAGAGTCACCGAAACTTTCAGTCTGAGACGCATTCACCGACAACACCCCTCTTCTGATCAGTTCTTTACCAACTCGCTGGTACCAGTCCTTGTCATTGATAGTTCCAAGACAATCATGGGTAATCATACTTCAGATTCGCAAACTTAAAGGAACATGGCCCGTCCAACAGCCTGACAGGCGGAACGATTATAAACTCAAGTAACGCAATTGACTTTCATAATTCGTCCGTCTAATTTAATGAATATAAACATCATGAGTGATAGAGTTGCCGAAATACAATGCTTCACAACTTCTAATGCCAGGTATGTTCGAAGAGATGGTTCTGGACTTTGTGTGAGTGGATGACAACCCCGGTCGGTCAATTTGAACACCAGGGTTTCTGGCATTATATAATGGCCGTCTCATTACCTCATCAATTGCAAAGTACACAAGGGCATTTCTAACAAACATGACTATTTGTATGATTAAGAACATCCGGCTCGTTCGATTGTGTCAAGGGCTGAAAGTAGTCGCACTTTTGCGCTACTATATCGTGACAGTAGATGAACTGGTTCCAAGTATCTGTAGCCTATATTGTCTTTGGTCCAACAGAGCAGAGCAAGAGAGCATCAACGGTCCGATCCCTGGTGGTTGTTCTGTTTGCTTTGCTGGGCGATTTGGTTGTAAACGTTTCGTCATCGAACGAGATGGTACCATCAGTGTGTAGTGAGTTGGCGGTATGTTGTATGGAATAGAACAACGACCCTCTACGCAACCTGAGCTACCCACATCTCTCTCGATAGCAAATCTGATCCCTTCTGCTTGCTTGTTTGCAGTATTCGTAAAACCGTTCAAAAGAACAATAAAAACTGCGTCCATTCGTGTGGAGAAAACGAAAGCAAAAAAGTAGGACAAAAAGGAAACGCTTCTAACTGACCCTGTGTTCCTTATACAGCTTCATAGAGTCCTTGACCATCAGGCGTGTACTCAGCAGTTGTTTGAGCATACTGAAGTTCGGGGAAATAGAACACACTGAAGTCCAATTACAGGCAGGCAAACGGAAAACACAAACTGCGAAAGAAATCCAGGCATTGGTGAAGGGAAACAGTAATGGCTTCAATTCCAAAAACTGAACACTTATTCTATGCTATCAGGTGCATCGATTTCTGGATTGCCTAGAAAACTTTATGTCGTACGAAACAAGCAGACGGCTTTAGACTAACAAAAGCGAGATACGTGAACTGAATATGAAATTAGTTAGTTATTCCTACGTAACAAGCCATCGATATGAACACTTAGGACCTCTACCGACTCACTGTTTCATGGAGACGGGCGACCACCACTCATTTGGGGATACATCCACCCGAATAAAGGTGGTGACTAGGTAGAATGTAACATGCCCTGTTGGTGCAGATCAACAGCACCTGTTTGTGTCTTGTCCAAATCCACTTCGAACTCCAATTACGACCAGTGGGTGGATACTACTAGAACAGACAAGGCTTCAGGGTCATTGTTTCATAGTCTCATGATAGGGGGACACAAAGTATAAAATGAACATGCAAAACAAAGACAAGTGAAGACGAATAAAATAAACACCTAACTGATCAGTTATTTGTCAATTTAGTTAATGCATTGAAATTAGTCAAAAAATTGGACTACTTGGAAGTAGTATACTGTTTTACACAACATTCAGACGATACGGAGGACGTAGTAACAGGTGTACAAGACTTGGATTTGAAGACGTCAGTTATAAAGCAGGATGTGGTTAGTCCCGAAAGATGGGATGGCTCCCCGAAAAAAAGACATTTAAATTCATGGGGAAACATACCAGGGTAGGATTCCTTCTCTGATAGATTTTTTGACAAACACCACACCATTTGGGGCAATGTTCACGTTTTGCTCCAAAGTCTGAAAATGAATAGTAGCGCGAAATAATATGACGGGGAAAACCTCAATGAGAAAATAAACAGTAACTTAGAAACTGAACGGTGATGAACTGCTACCGGAGGTAAAACTACCGATAAGGTTGATAAGAACTCCATAGTCAATTAGTGGTCTTCTTCTCAGGACTAAGTTGCTATTCAGCTGAATTTCCCGTCACCACGAGTTTAATTTGAAAACAAGTAGGTAACCCCACTTGAGTACATTCCGGGGTTTAAGTAGCAAACGAGATAGTTGGAAGCTCGAGTAGTATTGTCCAGCTAATGAATTCCAAGAACCAGAGACTGTAGGCTGGCCATGGGTTCTCGTCAACTTTATAAGCAGTGTAATGTCAGAGACAAGACTGATCTTTTGCATATCATTCTAACTAGGAAACGAAGCGTATTGGACGCAAAAACATACTTAGTCAAATGATACTAGAAACGAGATTCGACTGAGCCAGTCTCATTAGAACCAAATGCGAATCAGCGTGCAAATCCGATGGACCAGAATATTGATAAATGCTGACGATGGTAGTAATAATGACATAACAATAATTCAAAGAAATTAGTGAAAATTAGTCCCCTAAGTCAGCTGACTCAAAGAAACACTTAATTTTCGTTTAAAGTAATTGACCGATTGCATTCATTTATTTGCGAGAGTAGAAAATTTCCAGAAACATGGTTGCAGAGATTTTCATTCCAGTATCTTCAATAGGTCAAGTCCACGACCTGGATGTTGTCTACCTCTGGTGGTTGAACTTCGAAAATGGTGGTACACCCTCACATTGGCTCAAGAGTATGACAACGTCCATGTGATAGGTTTTCAGGAGAACACGGTTGATGACAGTCGCTAGTGTGATTTCAGTCGATCTGAGTGACCGGAAGCTGTAGTCTTCAATATGCTATGACAAATATTTAAGACGAGAAATACACTTTTTAATCGAGGTGAACTTAAAACTACGCTTCAGGCTGCAAATAACGTTGACCTTTTCGTAGTGGAGGCACCATCTTTGGAGAAAGCATGGTGTGGGACTACTAGGTTAGGTCACAAAGCTGTGGAGAAAGCATAGTGTGGGACTACTAGGTTAGGTCACAAAGCCAACAAGAGACCCAGTAGGCCTCCGTCATTCGTCTCGCATGCAGAGCAACTTTGCTGAGATGAAATGCGATGGTTAGATGAACACATTCTCACGAGCATGGTGGGACATTTTTGCTCAAGTCCGTTAAAGCACTATCCATCTTCCCTTTTGATCAGTCGAACACCGACCGCAGGAGTAATTTACGAAGGCACTGATGAAATTTACGAAGGACAGAACTGACAGAAAACTAAGCCCAGAAAAAAGCATGTACAGGATAAGAATCGGTACCGATGGGGCGCCGACGCAGGTGCACGTAGAACTAGCTGTGTGAACGGTGGTGCTGATAGTGTGAATTCCAAGTAAACACATTATGGGAGAAAAGACAGTCCTAAACCACCGAAGGCGCGTTAGCGGACACGTAATTTATCAGGGAAAACGACTTTCATATTTTAAACTTGGTTTTAACGTTAACACCGTCCCAATAAACAAGCGAGAGTCCAACTACACGGAGTAATTTAGGCACTGATGAAATTTACGAAGGACAGAACTGACAGAAAACTAAGCCCAGAAAAAAGCATGTACAGGATAAGAATCGGTACCGATGGGGCGCCGACGCAGGTGCACGTAGAACTAGCTGTGTGAACGGTGGTGCTGATAGTGTGAATTCCAAGTAAACACATTATGGGAGAAAAGACAGTCCTAAACCACCGAAGGCGCGTTAGCGGACACGTAATTTATCAGGGAAAACGACTTCCATATTTTAAACTTGGTTTTAACGTTAACACCGTCCCAATAAACAAGCGAGAGTCCAACTACACCTTTGTTTAAGTTGGAGTTTCCGTAGGAGAAACGAACGGTGAGAACGCGTCTTCTTCTAAATGATTGGTCCGAATTTGGGCCAACCAAGATCCATTTGTTTTTATCTCGGCGATTCTCGCTCCATCACGAAGATCGTACGATAACTCTGGGTAGAATGCTGTGATTACTGTACAAATACGGTTGTACTGTATCTACAAAAGGCTCCATGAAGCTACGGTAAATTTTGGCAGCAAAACAGCAAGCTAAGGACAAGCAGAGGGGTTGCAAAATTGTAGCACAAGGCATAAGGCAGCCAGAATCACAGTAAGGGAGGACATTCCATGATTTGAGATGAACTTTTTCGGTTACGGAGAAACCATGCATGAAGCGTTTCATTTTTCTCTGAAGAGCAAGCTGGAGGAACGACAATTCACCATGGTGACGCCCCGATACATGGTGTGCAATAAAGGTGATCATTCATCTTCTGCCGTTAGCGACAGAGTCAACGACAAAATAACAGAGCAGAAATTGAACATATTCGCTAATTCCGGAAGAATCCGGTTGTAGAGTGTTTGGGGTAAAGCAGGCACTTTGACGACGCTTTGAGATAATCAACAGACTCAAGAAAACGGAGTTACACGGAATACTACAGACACGGAATATTTGGCGTAACACGGTAGCAGAAAAGTACAAACTCACTTGAAGAAGTCCGGCCGACACGGAGTGAGTCAAACAGCCAAACTCGAAGAGATCTCGCGTGCTGTAACGGAAGAACCAGAAAGCATGGTGTGATGAAAGCAATGCCTTCAACAGTAGCCCATGGCTACATTGCAGAGCCGTGTGAAGAAACAGTGTAACCTGGATGATTGATTAGAGTGCGAATTATGCTGCAGATTATCAACGTCGTGGCTTTTACAACACAGCTACAACCGGTCACTATGGTTTATCATTGCAAACATGCGGTACCACCAACACCGGAGGCATGATCATTTGACTGACTGGACAAAGTTATCATCGTGTACACGACAGCAGCGTTTGAAGAGGGTTTGGCCTTGAAAGTACGCAACACTGTGACAGCCTGACTGTCTTGTGCGATATTCTCAGCTTCGAATTTGGAACGGGTTAAGTAGCGACAACTATAAACGTAAGGTTGCTGAAGACGCTTCGACAGCCTATGACCGGTTTCACCCTTCTTGGGGCTCTTCGGATAGGCGCAGTCAACAAGTTTCTGTCAGCCTTATGTTCCACTTGAATCCAAATTACACAAAATTATAAAAATACACTCATTCGGTTGAACCCAGATGAATCTTGTTTATGTTCTTAGGTAAACAATGTCTTGGCGGCGAAGTATAAAAGCCATTGCCAGCAAACTCAGCTGAACTGATCATTGCCGTCTTCCGGGATGGGAACCCCGAGACGGGCCACTTCAATGGTTGGAGACATTGTCAAACATGACCCAGTCGCGCCCTCAATGGCGCTCTTGCATTCAAGCTATTGCCTTCAATCCATTGCTCCCTTCCCGATTTCCCCACTTAAAAGTCCACTGACAGTGCTGTATTTACGCAATAATTTATCAGCTCCCGCCTCCAATGCGCAGCTACCTACCCCACCTCCACGAATCATCGGTGAACGAAACTGTGGCAGCTACAAAAACACTACACGACAATTAAGCGATTCTTACAGCTGACAAGGATGATGACGATGATGATTACTTGAGTAAGTTGATCCTATTCAACCTCTAATGGGCTGATGAGCAGTGTGTGGAAGTGAGCCAT